TTTTCTCAGTTCCTGGAGCACTTGGACCCCCCATGTTTGGGTTCGTCTGAACCGGAAAAAGGAGACGAACAATCTGGTCCCTACAGATTTTTAGCTGATACCCGCGACTTCATTCGCGTGGAATAGAATAAACTTGAATTAATATCAAAGAAAAAAAAATACTGCATAAATAAAAAATAAGTTGCACCGGGAGCGACGCGGGGCGGGTTATATGATCTGACTTAAAAAAAAAAAATATAATTGTAACTTAAATGTATGTATTTTAAATAAATTAAATTATGAAAAAAAAAAAAAAAATTCAAAAATAAATAAAAAATTATAATTGCATAAGTTGATAAAAAATGCTATGCAATAGCTTTACCGCGGCAGTCACCGAGTGCCACACGTCTTTTTTTCTTCTAGAGATTTTTTTACACCCACAACGCCATCTAGTTTCGAACTAAGCAGAGCTTGTACTATAAAAGCTAGATTGACCGATAGAATAGTTTTATACTTATTTTTTCTTGTTAATACATACATATAATACATAGAAAACACCCAATTCCGAAACAAATATTTGCAGATCATAGAAACATTTACTCCTGACCTCAGCACAGAAGTGGTATACGCTACCACCGAGGAATGTTAGTATAAACTAGCTGGTAAAAGCGACTTCGTTACAAGATACAAGATATTTTATTTGCATAAACATGTGTACATTAAAGATGTTAAATAATATTGCCTGATCGACATGTTTGACCGTTACCGGTGTACAAATATAAAATTAATTTAACAATAGCATCTTTCTACATGCAACATAAAATCGTTTAATAACATTTTAAAAAATCAAAATCGTTCGCATGGAATTTGAAAAGCACTGCCTTGGTCATACGCTACTACGACCGTCCATGAGGCGTCGGGTTTTATAGGGTTTTTCTGAAAGAAAAAATAGCCTAAGTTACTCCTTATATAGACAGTTATAGTTACCGGAAAACATCTGGAACAATGTCCTTGAATGGTCTCTTTGGTTGATGATGATTCGGGACGAGACTGCGGGAACCGTAGTTCCGATCGTGTCATTGGTAGATTAGTCGACCCTCGCCGCTCCAGCTGCGTCCGCGGCCCGTTGACTTCCGATTACACTCGAGTGCTTTTATTCCGTTGTTATTATTGTTTGGTTTTTATTTGTATTAAAATTTGTTGTTTATAAAGTATATACAGTATGTCACGAACAACACACTACACACTAAACCTATGCCTAGCACCAGTTCTGCTTCTGCAGGTTTGGATTTAATCGAAGGAATATTGCCTAAAAAATAGTTTGTCGTCATTTTTAGCAACAAATGTTCATTTTACTTTATTTAATAGCCGACAATATATCTGGTACAGGCAGACAGATAAAAACTATTTAAACTGGTTTTTAGGCATAGGTATCGTGCAAATAACCGTGGGAGGTCGAGGGAGAGCTATGCTTCGGCATGAATGGGCCGGGTCGACCGGAGTGATACCACACAGTGATGCCTCACAGAAAACCAGTGTTAAGCAATTCTTTCGGTGCCTTTCACTGAGTGAGTAAGGTTACCGGAGCCCAAATTCCCCCTCTTGCTGACTCGAGCGGGAGGGACTCCAAGGGCGGCAACGCACTTGTGACTTTTGAGTTGCAGGTGTCCATGGGCGGCGGTAGTTGCTTACCATCAGGTGACCCGTCGGCTCGTTTGCCCCCTTATACCATAAAAAAAACCGTGCGAACATGAAAACAACCTATTATTTTGACATTACAAACAGACACTTCAATTTTATTTATTTGTATAGATATATTCTTACATAGTTATAAGATCATTTATTGTTACAAAATCTTTTTAGTATATTATTATGATTATTTATATTTACAACTTAATATATGTTAAATTTACCTCAAGCAATTTAACTTCTGTTAAGTTATGCAAACTAAGTTCCCTGATAGACACAATTATTATAATTGTGTTAAATTTCACGCTTTTAATAAACTTGACCTGTATTATGGCTGACCTGTCGGTCTAGCGGCTAGTGATACTGGCTGACAAGCTAGAGGTCATATGTTCCATTATTTATTTATATAACTTAATGCACAAGTTGTAAACAGGCGGACTTAATGCCCAGGGCATTCTCTGCCCGTCGATCTTCGGGCGATGTAGAAAAATGATGCGGTAGGTGCAAGTGAAATGAAATTTATTAATTTAAGATAAATCTAAGTTACATATATACACTATATACTATAAATAAAATATTATATTTATTACTACATATACAGGGTGTAAGGGACATTGTAACGAATAATGAAATAGTGTATTCGGACCATGATTCTGAATAGAGTCTTTGGATTTTTAATTCATCATTTTTTTTCCATTTTTTTTTTGTTAAAAATGATATCACAATGAGTAAACAGAACATTTCACCGATTTTTTTTAATAAATACTGCATACGGTCAAAATAAAATAGTGAACAGCCGAAGCGCGGGGGGCCTCCCCTCCGGCCACCAACTTGTGTCAGTGTGCGTAGACTGTTTGCACTGAATACACATGTACTATTACTTTTGTGCGATATCTACGGGGATTGACCTTTACCTTTGATAGCTGATTGCATAAAAAGTTTAATTTTCCTTCAGAAAATTCCAATGATTTTCGACTCAGAATGATGGTCTCAATACACTGTTTCAGTATTCGTTCGAAAGTCCCTTACACCCTGTACACATAGAGGTCCTAAGTATACATATACAATACATAAATAGTGTATATTTGTTATTTTGTTTTTTGCTATTAATATATGTGTATATATAAATAAATAAAAATCAAAATACACAGTCAGGTTGTGACCTTTCTGCCAACTCATTTTGAAGAAGATCTTGTACTTTCTTCTTGACATCCTGATTTCAACTGGGAGCGCATTCCAGAGCAGAACTGGCTGTACGTACAAAGAAGAATTGATGAAATTGGAAGTGTGAGGGGGGCAAAGAAGAAGCATATTATTTGGTGATCGAAGACTTCCTTCGTGATTGGAGCAAAGGGGGACGTGATGGGGTTTATTGATGAGCGCGATCATTCGGTGATTGGGTGCCGTTTTACGTACGTCATTCAAATAATTGTGTATTTTAGAATATTATCAACGTTGAATTTTATTTCTGCAGGAGGAGAATGACGCAGTAAAATAAAGAATTTAAAAGAACGAATAGTTACACTGGCCAATCAGTTCCTTTTCTGTCGCTGTGTTGTCACATTAATAAAACACTCAATTTGCACGCATACAATCGAAACAAAGTTATCTCATTTATTTTATTTGTTTTCAAGACATTAAAATGATCTAAGTCTTAAAAAAGTGGGGAAAAAGAAGCCATGAAAATATAGATATATTATACTAACGTGACCTACCTGTGTCCTTGTACACTAATTTTAAATGTCTGTCAATGTCTATTAATTCTGATAAGGAAAAAGAAAGATCAAAACATTGTAGACTCGAAAAAAGCAGGAAATGCGGATAGATTATACTTTATTATATTCTCGTGATTTGTCAATTAGCACACATTAATGTAATCTTATTCGGGATCGGTGTTACTCCTTCCTTTTCTTAAGCATTATTATAGATTTATCGTTTATCCTTAAAATTATGTATGTAACCATATATTAAAAAGAACTAAAAGAAGAAAAAAATAACACTGTACTCACTTACTAATTTAACGCGTAACAAAAATTATGACAAGTGACGCTGCCACCAGGTTCCATGGGTTCTTAAACAATTTTTTTTTTATTTTTTTAGACGATTTCGTTTCTGTTTTTTTTGAGTGAGCCCCTCGATGTTTTACTTTCATCATCGAACGCGATAGATGGCATTACAACCAGTTTGTTGTTTTTTTGACAAACGTTAATATGGTTAAGATTTTAGTTTATTTATATGTCATGAAGAGGAAAAAATCTGAGGAATTGTTCGGACCAATACCGGCCGCAAATTTCCGCCACCGTTTTCGCCACACGGCAAAATTTTCATCCACATTTTTCAAGACATTTTTTGCCCCGCACAACCAATCTGTGGAACAGGTTATCGTCTGCGGTATTTCCGGACCGATACGACCTTCAAACCTTCAAGAAAATGCGTACTCCTTCCTAAAATGTCGCCAACGCGTTTGTGACTCTTGAGTTGCAGACGTTCATGGGCGGCGTTGGTTACTTTCCATCAGGTGAACCATCTGCTCGTCTGACCCTCTATCATAAAAATATTTATATTATTGTCGAAATCAATCATGACATGGAAAAGAACATACTGGTTATGTACGGGGAGGACAACGTCTGACAGTTCCACTAAAATAACTTAAGACATTGTTATTTTTTCTTGTGATATCTGTATACGTAATTATGCTTGTTCTTGATACTCTCCCTCTCGACCGCTTCAGTTTTTTTTACAAACAGGCTACTTTGATTTCTATAATTTTTATATATCCAGTCACTCTTACAATTAAGACGAATTTAATGACACCTTCTGAGCTAAATTATCAAGCCGTTAGACTACAGAACGTGCCAAAATAAACGCACATACATATACACAAAGAACTTAGTAGCAATAGGTATAATTGTGATATTAAACGGTATATATAGGAGAAAAAAAAAACATGTAATGACTTATAATAGGTAATTTTACTTTTTACAAAGTTCATAAACTTTGCAAAACTTCAACATGCTGATATGTTTAGCATCGACATAAAAATATTTCACAACTTTAACAGTGAACTCACAGAAAACCGGTGTTAAGCATTTTTTCGTTGCCTTTTACTTTCACAAGTGAGGTTACCGGAGCCCAAATCCCCCCTCCTCCCGCTGACTCGAGCGGGAGGGACTCCAACGGCAGCAACGCACTTGTGACTTTTGAGTTGCAGGTGACCCGTGTGCTCGTTTGCCCCCGTATCACTAAAAAAAAAGAACTATATGTATTTAATCTTATTCTTATATTTGTACAGTTCTTATTGTAACATAACTTAGATAATATAATGTAAACAATTAATTAAATATTTGATTATCTGAAGGCAAGAACATTGCTGCTAATGCACCACCTGAAAAATAATATTTTGATGGTAAAAAAAAATGAAAACACAACAGAATAAGTGACAAAGTTTAAAGGGGCGCGCGGCTAACTTGTAACCAAGTAGGTTGAAACAATTCAAAGTTAAGTAATCGAAGCTAGGTCAGTCTATGAATGAGTAACCATTCCTAACACATTGAGAGACACGGAGGGGCCGTGTCTCGAAGAACACGATAAGCCGTCTATCCCGGTTACTATAAGAACATCTGTAGCGATCGTTAAGAGTAATCGGAGCCCCAAAACAAACAACAGTCCTTCTACAGAACTTCGTTATCACCTACTTGGGTTGTGGAGCTCTGGCAGTTGTTCTACATAAACAGTCGAAGTTGAGCCGTATCGTACTAGACCTAAAGCCGACCCTAACCTACTTTGTGAAAAAGGCTCAGAGAAGGAAAAAGCAGTGAACGTGATACATTTCGTGATGTCAGAGACAATCAGACTGAGCTCTTTATACAAATGAAGAAGATGAAAATGTCAAATTAAATTTAAAATAAATATTTCGATTTTGAGAATATAGTCCTACCAACTTAACTGTGAAATGGCAAAAATTGGAACTACGGCCGTCATGTTGAAATGTCATTCGATTGTCAGTTTCTACTACATTCGGGTTCTCTGGTTGTTTTGTCGTGATATTGCTGAATTTATTAAGTTAAATATGCCGAAAGCTATTAAAAGTGATGCTCGAACATTATTCTAAAGGTTAAAACCTTTTTTGAAGAAGAAGCTCGGGCAGGGTCTCCGATTATTCCATTTAATCAAATATACAAACGAATTTCGGCAGCGACAGGTTAGTGTTGTCAACTTTCTTGTTATAAATTACCCGATACTTAACTAATTATTTAAGTCCACGAAATATTCGTTTCTATTCTTGCTGCGGGTTAGCGTAACGGTAACGCACATCTATTAGGTAACCCACTAAGTGAGTGAGCCAACTAACCTGCCAGATTTCAAATTTCTACTAACATTTATTTTATTATCTTATATTTCAGGTGTGAGTCAAGGACTAATTTCAAAAGTAGTTAAGGAAGAGCATGCAGCAGAAGAAACTGATACAAAAATTCGGACACCAGGCAAGGAGAGAAAACGTAAAAGTGGATTTGTGCAAGTTGATGATTTTAACATGGGAGTTATACGGACGAAAGTACATGAATTTTATTCTGCCAAAAAAGAGGTCCCTACTGTTAAAAAGATTCTAGAGGTCTTAAAGACAGAAATAAATTACACAGGACAGCGAAAGAGTCGGCGAAAGCTGCTTCACAAGTTGGCATTTCGTTTTAAAAAATCTCAGTCCAATCGAAAGGTTCTTACAAGCGTAATGAAATATCAGCTTGGATAGCTAAGTACTTGCATGCAGTGGATAAAAATAATAAATCTCCCCAGCCCCGGCCCATAATTTATTTAGATGAGACCTATATTCACTCTTCGCATACATCGGGTGAATGTTGGCAAGGAGACGGTGAAGACGGAGTATTGGAGCCTGTATCGAATGGCAAAGATATATTATAGTTCATGCGGGAGGAGATACTGGATTTGTTACAAATGCAGTACTTGTGTTTAAATCAAACACAAAAAGTGGTGATTATCATGACGAGATGAATAGTACCAACTTTAAAAAGTGGGTTATTGAAAAACTTGTGCCTAATTTACGAGAGCCATCCATAATAGTGATGGATAATGCTCCTTATCACCGTATTTGTGTGAATAAAGTCCCAAATACGAATTCTTTAAAAAAAGATATGCAATTATGGTTGACCCAAAATAAAAATGACTACGGAGAGAATTTGACTAAACCTCAGCTTTTAGAAATAATTAAGAAAAACAAGCCTGAACCTGTATATGAGATTGAAAAAATTTTAGAAAACAATAGACATAAATGCTTATATTTACCACCTTATCACTGTGATCTCAATCCCATTGAACTCATATGGAGCACAATGAAAAGAAAAGTTGCTGATGTAAATATTGAGCACAAAAATGCTGAAATTCCCTGCCTAGTTAGAGAAGCTTTTGACGCTATTACAGTTCATGAGTGGGCACAGCATTGTAAACATGTTCGCAGGTTAGAAGAAGAATATTTAAAACATGATTTGTATTTAGATAAACCTTTTATTATAGAAGTTGTAAGTGAGACTGAAACCGAAAGCGATAGTGATAATGATGATAGTGGTACGGAAATAAGCGGAGTATGGCCTCACAACCAGGATGAAGTTGTGTATGCAGGTTCATTTAAAGATCACAATTACTGTAAACCTGGTTTTCAATAAATTATTATAAAGCAATTTGTTTTTTTTTATTACACTACACTACCACTAGGTACCACTGCTAATTATAATTAGTCAAATCTGGTGTTAGGGGTTAGTTACGGTCATAACTAAATGCTAGACATCCAGGTACCTCTTGCAGGGTAGGTACCTACTTCGCATTAAATGAAAGTTGTATCTCTCCCGTGGAAAATTTTTATCTGCTGAATTTCCACTTCATTGCATTACTTTTTAGATAAAGCCATTGTTTATTGCTGAGAGACTAAACTGTTAGCGTACCTATGCAACTGTAAATTATCAAATTCTTTTTATTTATTTTATTATTTTTATAGAGGTATCATTATTTTTAATTTGTTTTGTTTTTAATTCTTATTAAACGATTATGCCTAATGTGAAATTTCTTTCTTGAAAACTTACTCAATTTTGGACACCTTATATTAATTAGCAACACTGAATCGACGGTGCCGTCCTCTTTCAGTTCACAGATAAGTTGGTAGGACTGTATATGTAATGAAATGAATGACATTTCATTAATTTGAATTTCGCACATCGAAGTGACATGTGAACTATGATTCAATGGCAGATGACGCTTAGATTATTTTGTGCATTTTATTATAAAAACTTGTAGAGAGATAAACCGAAGGATACGATTGAGGAAGCGATATTAGTGAACTTTAAATGTCGTTTCTTTGTATTTTCAGATGAGATAGAAGTGTAATTGTCATAAATTGATAATTGTTGTAATATTGTAAAGACGTATTAAATAAAACAGAACTTTGTATTTTCAGAGAAACAATTTATGGTTTATTTTGAAGATCCTCAATAATATACCTTATATATAATTGTAGTAATAAGCCAAAATCAAACACATCGCATATACTTATATCGCATAGTACTTGGGTTGTGAAGGTCTGATAGCTGTCATAAAATATCGAAGTTCAGCCATATCGTTTTAGACATGGAAAAAAGGATCGGAGGAGGGACGAACAATTCGCAAAGTTATCCATATCGTTAACCTAATTTCTAACTTTAGTTAATGATTATAAGAATACTTACTGAGAACAATTCCGGCCCCGCTGTAAAGAGCTGTAGAACAATGGTTTCCCATAGCGCCACTGATGATATTGGTACCGGCAAACGCACTTAGACGGGCCACCATCATCCCTAAGCATGCTACCATACCCCTGTGAAGCATAGAATGTGTGTAGCATCATTCAACTACAGAGTAATTACTAATTCTACATCGCGCAATTTAAGTTTTTACATCATCATCATCATCAACCTATCGCAGTCCACTGCTGGACATAGGCCTCTCCCATTGCACGCCACTTAGATCGATTTTGGGCTCCTCGCATCCAGATCCTACCAGCCATATGGCGAAAATCGTCACTCCACCTGGCCTGTGGGCGTCCTACAGTTTTTGCATGGATTAGTATAAATACAACTTCTGATCATCAATCGTTGGGTCGCGTTAGACCAGATATGATAACCGTACCTGGTCAGAGAAACTCTTTACGTTTTAGGAATATAACACCTGTTTCTTCACATGCCTATTAATAGAATATGTTATTTATTTATTTTTTGAGTTTTATCTTAGAGGGAGCAGACGAGCAGACGGGTCACCTGATGGAAAGTGACCATCGCAGCCCATGAACGTGTGCAACTCAGGAGTCACAAACGCGTTCGAGAAGTTTTTTCGTTGCGGCTTTTTAGGAAGGAGTACGCTCTTTTCTTGAAGGTTTGAAAGTCGTATCGGTCCGGAAATACCGCAGAATATGACCCGTTCCACAAATTTGTTGTGCGGAAATATAAGGATCCTTTAATGACCTAAATAAAATTGAAGATCTGCTTTGATAATGATAGTTCTGCCAGATTGATTACTTTTTTCTTTCTTTTTTTCTAATACATAATATACGAGTATTTATGACTACTAAAATAATTATAATTAATCGATCAAATAATTAAAATAATAACTGAATTGAATATATAACTTAGAATATTTTATTTCTTTTAGACACTATTATAATTAAATATATAATAAAACATGACATACATACTTACTATGATTGTATCCTACTATATTATATTATTAATTACAAACAAAACTTTCTACTGTACATATGTTTGTGTAATCTTCCTCTCTCCCAAACAAACTGCGCTATGCCCGACAGAGGCCACAATTGTTGCCGCTTAAATTTCTGTCACCTATGTATTTACATTATAAAAGCAATAAAGTAATGAGTATTACTGGCGCTCTCTCGTCTTGACTTAACTCAGGGATACATTTACGGGAGCGGGGCCGGGAGAGGTTTAGGACACTCCCGGCCCGCCAGGCCCGGGAACGGGCCAGGTACCGCAGGCGACTCAGGCGCCGGAGGTCGCAGAATGACCTCCGTCCTCCATAAGCGCAGGCCTGGGGGTGACAGGTGAGGCCATCTGTCACCCTAGCAGAAGCAGGCCGGGGTGGCGGCGAGCGCATTGCGAAGCGCGCTCGCTTCCAGGGAGCGGGGGGGGGGGGTCGTCTACTTGTCTGTAGATGACCCGAGGTATGTCGGGGCACCAGGGACTTCCTTTCTAGGGTATACCTGGTTCCCCGGCTATTAGTACCCGAGACGGCGTGCGGTTTTAGTCGGTTCGAGTCCGACATGCCACCGACAGGTGGTATCCGAGGGGATTTCCACACGGTAACAAAAAAAAAGAAAAAAAAAAGAAAAGCGATACATTTACGTCTAAGTCCTCACAGAAGTAAATATCAAAAGATACTGCAGTAAGAAGATCAAACAAGTAACAACTTACCTATAAGAAGTAGGATACAAGTCCACAAAGTAGGAAGATATTACTCCAAAGGCCATAGCTGTAGTGAGGAACACGTAGAATAACACGAGACCAGAAACAGCTTCCCCGGTGTTGTCGGTAGCAATGGCTGCAGCAGCCGCGATCAAAAGGATTATTATGGTCAATATCTAAAACAGAGTAAGAGAATGCAAGGAGTACATTACTTCTTCGTAAAGTCCTTTAAAACTAAAGTACTAGATTAATATTAAAACAATTAATAAAAAATGGAAGTGGGGGCAAATGAGCAGACGGGTCCCCTGATGGAAAGCGACTACCGCCGCCCATGAACGCCTGCAGCTCAGGGGTCAAAAGCGTGTTGCTGGCCTTTTAGGAAGGAGTACGCTCTTTTCTTGAAGGTTTAGAGAAAGTATTGGTCCGGAAATACCGCAGACGATAACTTGTTCCACAGATTGGTTATGCGAGACAAAAAGTGTCTTGAAAAGGGCACAGTGGAGTTGCGTCCGGTATTAGTCCGAATAATTCCTCGGAGCACTCTCCATGATATATACGATAGAGAATGCAGAGTGAAGCTACATCTCTACGTAACGCCAAAGGAACCGAACCGATGCGGTTGGAGATAGAGGTGATATTAGGCAATATGTATCTACACTTATTTATCTACATAACTATATGCCTTGTTATTGTAGAGTTACAAATGAATAGGAACTAATCTACATATTTAATAGATGGAGAAAAAGTAGGAGGTGGCAACGCGTTTCTGACTCCTGAGTTACAGGCGACGGTAGTCACTTTCCATCAGGAGACCCGTCTGCTTGTTTTCCCCCTCTTCCATAAAAAGAGGAAGGACAAGAAGGGCTGGGCTTGGGTAAGCCCCACTCATTCGGTGAAAAGCAACGAAAGAAGTGCTTAACACCGGTTTTCGATGGTCGTATCACTCCGGTCTGAAAATATGGCTCACTTTGCAATACTTTATGTTTATACTAGCTTGGTAAAAATAGGCTATGTTACTCGGTGAAAATGGAGCTTTTCATTGGTGAAACAAACAGAGCAGTATACAAATATTGTTTTTATTTATAGGAATATAAATTCGTGGGGGAGCCATGCTTCCCCACGAATGACGCGGCTTGATTGGTATGATACCACGACTACACAGAAAACCGGTGTTCATCATCAACATAAAACGTTATACATCATAACGTTAAAAGCTTTAAACTGTGTGTAGAGGTTCAGTATATTATTAAGGAACAAAAATCAACACAATTTCCCATCAAGTTACATTGGTCATCAAGATATTGGAAACTATTGAACTTTATAGAATAGTTAATATAATTAAGTCAACCCCAGTTCTAATTATAACACTCAATCTCTCTCAAGTAAGGTGACTGGAAAATGAAACTCTCCCCTCCCCTTATTCTGGATGGGGAAAGGACTCAAAGGCTGGCAAGTCACTTGTGACTCTTGAGTCTATTAGCGCCGGTAATCACTAACCATCAGGGGCCCCATCTGCTCGTTTGCCTAAAACACAGATAAACGGTTTTACTCGCGGGCGTCAGGTGCTGCGCCTTATACCAATGCTTGCACCACCGCTTGATGTATAACACTCGAAAGGTCAGAAACTAGTCGGGCCTTTCTGAACGAAAGTGAAACCGTTTACCCCTTATAAAAATTTACGTGTTATATATAAATCAAGTTTTCCTTATCTCTGCAGTGCTGTTGTCCTGCGTAGTTTTTTCCCTTCATCATCATCAACAGCCTTTACTAGTCCACTGCTGGACATAGGCCTCTCCTTAGAAAAGAGGTTTTGGCCTACTATACCACGCTGGCCAGACGGGTTGGTAAAGGGTTTATTTCAAGTTTTCCTTCTCTCTGCAGTGCTGTTGTCCTGCGTAGTTTTTTCCCTTAGTCGGCTCTTACGACACCCACGGGATGAATAGGGGTGGTGACACTCTGTATTCTTAATCCGTCACCACACAAACCCTATACCAACCCGTCTGGCCAGCGTGGTATAGTAGGCCAAAACCTCCTTTCTAAGGAGAGGCTTATGTCCAGCAGTGGACTATTAAAGGCTGTTAAAGAAAGATATAAATCAAAATACTCTTCGAATGGAATACAATCCATGTCTCTGACTTAGCAGCGATCCCTTCACTACTAGATAAACAGGTCAGTCTACATCATGATTTATAATTACCCACCTTTCTCTTACTAGCACATTGGGAGATGAGAGCGTTGAGGAGGAAGAAGGATAATCCATGAGCACATCCAGCCCAAATCGTGTTGTCTTCTATCGGGTTCGTGCATTTGGACGTATCCTGGAATTAAGTAATAACACTTTTATACAAAACCGAAGGAATTTTATTTATGTGTGTGTTAGCCTGATTCGGCGTGCTGTCGATTCAGGGTGATCTTAAATCACATCGTCCGTGTCATCCCCTTAGTAGGACGCCCGATCTCCTGATATTCCAAAAGCTGGCTAAGTGCGAGTTGAGCTTATGTGAAGAGGGTTCCTTACGCTGAATTGAAAATAGAAGTTTGTAGGCACATTTTTTAATAATTAAAGGACAATGGCAGCTCCCCATACATAATTTTATTTGAACTGAAATGTTAGCGTTTAAATATCAAAAAATCCTTAACACTTGAGAATTTATTCTTGACCATTCTCATACCAAAATTACTAGCGAAAGAAGTCTAGGAAAAAAGATATTGGATTTTGAATGTTTCGAGGTTAAGTACTAATATATTGTTAATGTTTTGTTTGAAACTAGATGGCGTTGTGTGTCAGATAGCCGAAAATATTATTTTCATTATTATTACAGTATATGAAATAAAAAATAGAAAAGCATAACATCTATGCGAGTTTAACACTAAATTAAACAAAAATAAAATAACAAACGTGGTGAGTCCGGAACTTGATAGAATCTAAACGACGACGTATCGACATTTTGAAAATATCGATGTGTCGTTATCAATACCAATGTATTTTTCTCATCACACTGTGTAGTGTATATTTTTTACGTCGGAAAATAACTATATTCTATTTCTTTAGTGTATTTAAAATCCTTGAAAAGAAATCAAAAATATTCTAAATTATTTCTAATTATGTTGATTCATTCATTATACCGTACGAGTGAAGCCGTGGGCAGAAGCAAATTCATAATCATAAAAGGTGAACCATCCATAGATATTTCAGCCAAAGCTATAATCGATTATTGGTAAAACGATTCATAATATAATATTGCCACCACGTCATCCCTAGTCATCCCTAGTCGTAATATACGTGATGGCGAATCTGACATTACGTACTTGGGTCAAATAAAATCTTCAAAAATATCCTATCTCTTATAAGACTTATACAACAAATGGTGGTGGAATGATAAATCATAGAAAAAATATTGATTAAGTTTACTGTGACTCGATTTTTTAAACGCTTAAGTTTTAGGTAAATATGTTTCTGCCATTGTTCTTTGTTACTTTAAAGCAACAGACTTTTCACTGGTTTCCTCGTAGTCTATAAGCAAAGAATCTGTTTTCTGTATCTGACTATTTTAAAATTTTAATTCTATCAAATCAAATATCACAATCAAGTCTAATATTGAATCATAATATCTTCAGGGTCATTACCTGATGTATAGTGACGTCAATATTCTGGCTGTCAGTGGTATTGGTGAGTTGAAAGAGATCACAGAAGGATGCGCCTGCGACACTGGTTGTGTACGACGTAAAGAAAATGTTCAAAATGGTCGGTAGAATGATTGCGAAGCTATTGTTTCTGTAACCAAAACAAAATGGTAACAATTAATATCCAGTACAGATTTCAATAACTTTATCGGCTTGTGTTTAGAGGGAGGATTAAAATATTTTAAATCATGAATTCGGACTTATATTTACATATTAGAGATGAATGGCATCCAGACACAGAACAAGTGATTGTTCGTCAGGCCAGTCACTTGATCAGGTGGTTAGATTTGATTATATGTTATGATGATCAGGTTTTATGAATCCAAAATTGTAGGTATGTATTTGAAAAGTCGTATTGTAGTTCATGGGCTTTACCAGAATTCAGAACATGGTGCAGATTGAATCGGATTGATAACGATATTTCACAGTTTGTCCCGATTATTTATATCCAAAAATATTTTTTTAAAAAACTAGCTGATCCGGCAAACTTTGTATTGCAACAAAAAAAATTTTAGCGATGGGTCACCCTTACCATTCAAAATTGTGAATCTAAACCATTCCCAGATCCCCTTGAACACACACAAAAAATTTCATCAAAATCGGTCCAGTCGTTTGAGAGAAGTTCAGTGACATACACACTCACAGAAGAATTTATATATAAAGATATATTTGCATTAAATGTAAGTTTTTTGTGTGACTTAATTTATCGACTAGTTCACAACATAGAGTTTTTAATTTTTTTTAGTATATGTCAAGAAAATGGAAGTTACACCTAAGTATCTTCTAAGATTATTTAGCTAAATTACTTAGATGTGAATTATGTATTTGACTATTAGTCATGGCTCATGACTTTATGAAGACATATTTCCTAAACTTTTAGTAACTAAATAAGTTTCTAAATAACCTTTATTTATAAAATAAAACTGATGTATTAAGGGTTGAAGCATGAAATTGCCGATTTGTACAGATAAATTGAAATTGTTTTTTTTCTAACATGTAACATATTTATTTAATCAAAATATTTACTCTAGTTATCTATACATTGCTGCCATCTAAACGGGAGTTCGTTTATACTTTTACGATAGAACTCTTGGGAATCTAGATTCGACAAACTGTGTGAAAGCATTTTGTACTGCCTCCTGGGAAGATTTTTTTTATCACGTGCAAAGTTGTCCAAATCACGAAAAAAATGGTAGTCCGTTCGAGCAAGGTCTGGCGAGTATGGAGGGTGATGTATGGTTTCTCGTGCAGTGTGAGGTCTTGCGTTATCATGGAGGAATAATGGTGAAGATCGTTTCACGAGTCAAGGTTGTGTTACTGCCAGTTTCGCCATCATTGTTCGAAGTTCGGCACAGTAAACATCTGCTGTTATTGCCTGATCAGACCTGAGAAAGCTACAGTGAATAACACTATGAAGATACCACACTTACCATTACCTTTTTATTGGTAAACTTTGCTTTAGGTCAATCATCAAACAATCTACTTTTCATCACATGTCACAATTCGATCCAATATTCCTTCATTTCGGTATTGATTCAACACAATTCAAGGGAACATAAGTTTCAACACGCATTTCTTTCTGCAGATTAGTAAAATCATGAGTCACCAATTTTTCATATTTTTTATCTTATTGATTTGATGGAATGAGTAGGTAAGGTAACGTTAAACCATGCCGCTAATTTATGAGTAGTTTGATTCGGATCGGCTTCCACCATCTCCTTCAATTCATCGTTATTCACCTGTGTGGGTAGTCTTCCACGTGGATAGTTCTTCAAGTCGAAGTTTTCATTACGAAAGCGTTTAAACCAATTCGAACGGTGCATTCATTAGCAGTCTCCTCTCGAAACACAGAGTTGATATTTCGAACCGTTTCTGCTGCATTAGTTCCGCGTCGGAACTCGTATTAAAAAAGCACTTGGATTTTCGAAGTATCCATCTTTCACGTTTAAGCTGAATATTTTTATTATTAAAAGTCGAAAATCGAATGTTGCACAGTTTTAACAGAATAATCACATAGGTATCATGTGAAAACAGTTTCAAGCGAAAATCTCACAAGATAAAGGTTTTATGTCAATTCAAAGTATTTATTACTATACAACGGCAATTTCATACTTTAACCCCTATTATTGCCTATGTAAAGTTGTCACTAATTATGTAGGCGTATTAAGATAATAGCTTTTAATCAGTAAAATGAACATTAACCTATATAGATCAAGGTGCTCGCTAACTATTGCTCAGAAGTTGTGGCGATTTTCACGTACAACGATACACATATAAATTACGTGCACTGACTAACTGACTGAGTTATCAACACAAATCCTAAACCGCTGGGGCTACAAACTTAAAATGTAAGCAGCTGGTGTACATCCACTTAGTAATGTTTTTTGGAAATTTTACCTCTAAATTGGAAAAAATAAAGGATGAACGGTTGTGCAGTTCGGCATTTTTTAAATTAAAACACGAATTAAGAAATAATCAAAACTCAACTGTGCTATTTTAATATTGTATCAATAGACTGTAGATAGATTGTCTTCGAACTAGTTTTGCAATTTACGTATTCTACTATGTAAGACCAATGGCTTCTCGATAACTTCTCACTTTCTCACTGAATTACCACTGATGCAAATATCGTCGTGGTCTTTGTAATAGTTTGATAAACGGTACATGTTAAATTTGTAAGGATATGATGATATTTAATTTGCCCGATATGGCAATGTTGTTAATATCACCATTGATGAAACAATATCACTTCATCGACAATCTATTGACGATGATGATAATCTATTGATGAATTTATGTTAGTAGAATACCGATATTTGGACCAACGGCAATGGCATCTCAATATCGTGTTAATGGAATAACAGTGGTTTGTACGTTAACATAAAATAACAGAATTCAGGCCCTGTTTCTCATTCATTCGGCAATTCAATTCGGTCTCAGTTAACACTGGTTTATGGTGAGGCTGTGGTATAACTCCGGTAAGACCCATATCTGCTGAAGTTTCCTTTTTGTATTTAAAAGACAACTCCCGCACTAGAACATATCTTGTGTGGCAGGGGACTTTAAACACACAAAAAGGACACACAGAGCACCCAGAATCAGAACAACAATTTGTGGATCACACAAAGTGTTGTCCCATGTGAGATCGAACCCATAACACTCGGTGCAGTAGGAAGGCGAGGTGACCGTTTAAACCACTACCACTTCAGTGCACTCTTAGTATGATTGTCGCACAGGAGATTAATAGCACTTGGTTTTGATTTTAAAACAGTGGTAAATATTGTATCTTATCGAATTATAGATCAATACTAGACAAGTTCTCGATTGTGTGTCTGTATCCGATAACAGGTGCTCGCAAAACAATACGTTTACGCGTGTATATAGAGATTATTTCTTATTTCCTGTTTCTAACTTTGAAAACTTCCATACCTCCGTTCAACCTTTATTTTACCCCGTTAGGGATGAAATTTATATTTAAATTGTTTTAATATTTACAGCTGTATTATAAATAATAACTGCAATTTGTCTGCATAGATGGTGTAGTGGTTTAAGCGGTCGCCACGCCGCTTCCCACTACGCCGAGTGTTGTGGGCTCAAATCTCACATGGGACGACACTTTGTGTGATCCACAAATTGTTGTTCTGAGTCTGGGTATTCTTTGTGTCTGTTTCATGTATGTTTGTAAAGTCCACCGCGACACAGGATATATTCCTAATGCGGGAGTTGTCTTTAGAAAATTTATTTATAAATATTATTCAGTTGTATAAATACCTATTTATTCATTATCATCATTTATACTATTAGTTCAGTCTTTAACAACATATTCCAAAAGAATACTTACGCGATATAAGTGACGAAGGTGAGGTAGAACAGCAGCATGGTCTTAAAGAGGAGTGGTGACTGGAACAGTGGCGCTATCTGTACCCAAAGAGAGCGAAAAGAGAACTCCCCCACGATTTCTTTATTGCCATCTTCGAGAAAAACCCGTTTGATCTATAAAAAAGAAATCACATGAAGTAGAATTACAAGCCCAGATAAAGATTTGGTTTTACCTGCTGTGAACAATTTAGTAGTTTCGAACAGTATTTTTATTTATTTAAACTAGAGTTAAGGGCCAATATTACTTGAACGTGTTATGGCTAGTATTACTTTTCCATGACAGATAAAAATGTATACCTACTAGACTATAATGTATGCATACAAACATAAAGTATTCCAAATACAAAATGCTTCTGTAAAATCATCTCTTCCATATTTATTTTGCAAAAGTTTTTTTTTGTTGACTGGGTGAAAAATCCCTACGTATCTCTGGTACCTTGGGGACTGAAGATTCAATGGCGTTTTCACTAGAAACCACCCGACGGTCAGTTTCAAGCGCCCTATTCTGGTGAGGGCCTGGAACATGTGATTTCAGGTCCCTCACTGAATCCACGCAGTGCCGGGCCCTATCCCAGGAGAATCCGTAAGCTTCCTCCAACCTATGTGCTCAAAACGACGTCAAGGTCCGATCGTGTCTGGATGTGGTCAGGCCGCCACGCTATCCCGTACGGACCTTAATCTGCCATCAGACGTTCTCGTTTACAAGTGGTACAGAGTACTTTAGATATTAATATACGAGTATACCTATATGTTTCTTCGTACTACGTCTTCTAACATGCAATTTTATTCTAAGCACGTACAGACAATAGGTTTCTATGTCCTTCACAGTTCATACGTGTACTCTTGCAATAATATACTCCATAAGATGACATCTCTGAAGGAAAAGACATTGAGAATATAAAACATCTGTCGCCATTTGTTGAAGTCGAACTCATAGTATCTTTGTCAAACCCAATTTTATATATTTACATAGTTGTTATAGGTACATCATATTATAGTAATATCAATCAACTCATTTTGGACACACAATGTTACTTGAAGATTAGCAAAATCGTGACGATTTGCGCAAAATGGCTGGCAAGAGCTGGATGCTAGAAGCTCAAAATCGATCTAAGAGGCCGGGCTAATGGGAGAGGCCTATGTCGAGCGACAGGAGTGGACTGCGACAGGCTGATGATGATGATGATAACTGTAACAGCCAGGGTTACAGCAGTATTACCTAGTAGTGTTGAGTAGTAGCGTGGCTTGTTTTATAACTTACTAGCTGACCCGGCAAAAGATATTCAACCATTATTATCAAAGAAATCAACCCGCGATTAAAACATGGGGGCATGTTTTAATCGCGGGTTGATTTCTTTGAAAGTAAAAAACACCTATTCTCATATCTACTAAATTTCCAAAAAAAAAACATTAAAATTGGTCAAGCCATTTCGGAGGAGTACGACCACAAACACCGTGGCGCAAAGATATTGATGCATTACATTAAATTTAGTTAGTGTCTGATATGGCACTTTCCATCACTTACAGGAAAATTATTCTCATTGTTTCCATTCACAACGTACATCCTCTTCAGGACTTTCACAGCCTCCTCTTCTTGCCCTATATTGGCCAGGAACTTGGGGCTCTCGCTAAAGTACCACAGGCACAATGCCGCCATCCCCAAAGGAAGTGCCATAAACAGAGTCAGGAGACGCCATGGCCTATATGCTATGCCCAGAAGGTAGAAGGAGAAGTCCAGTTTCATTGTTAGATATGCCGTTACTGAAAGAGACAAACAGTTCGTTATAATTAAAGTTCATATGGCGAATATTTAGAACTTTTGTTCATAGTTAAGAGGGAGTTGATGACACCCTGTCAGAAGAGCCGACTAAGGGAGCAAACTACGCAGGTCAACAGCCACTGTCAAGAGAAGGAAAACTTGACACAAACCCTATACCAACACGTCTGGCCAGCGTGGTATAGTAGGCCTAAAAAATCCTTTCTAAGGAAAAGCCTATGTGTATAAGGATTACTAAAGGCTGTTGATGATGATAATGTTTATAGTTTGCAACCTTACCCAATCGGTATTTTTCAGTAAGTTGATGATAAAGAAACTCCTCGCACCAGAGCGCGGTTATAAGTACCTAATGTAAAATCATCAAACAAATACATTTATACACATAGCTGTTAAATGTAGAATTATTTAAAAACTAAATTCTTCACCGCCTCCATTATCATGAAAATTATCTTGACTATTCCTTTCTTTTATTGCAGATCCAGACAGGTCATCTGATGATAAGTGACTACCAGCGCTTATTGACCCCTTTAACTCAAGAGTCTCAAGTGCGTTGTCGTCCTTTCTTATTTTTTCTTCTTTTAAAAGACAACTCCCGCATCAGGAATAAATATCCTGTGTCGCGGGAGACTTTACAAACATACATGAAACGTACACCAAGAACACAGACTCAGAACAACAAAGTGTCGTCCCACGTGGGGATCGGACCCACAACACTCAGCGTAGTACGTGGCGAATACTGAAAGTTTCTGGATCTGGCCACTTACAATAAAAGAATGAAAAAACAATTATGGAATTTGAAAATGGAACTCTTTGGAAACATGTTACTTTTTAATTTGCGAGACTGTCATTTGTTTTTTCATTGTCACAATCACCTTACGAAAATGGTGTGTCGCTATCAAAATGAATTTAACTCGTGAACATTTTCGTTCAATGAATTGGCGGTGAATTCATTCCATGAAGCCATTGAAGAGGTCCCTAAGGAATGGTCCCTGGTCCAACTGCTTTATACAGTGGTTTCAGCGAATGCAAAAATGCATTAGTTGCGAGGGAATATACTTTGAAAAACAACAAATGTATCGTAAGTCTTATATCTAGTCTAATTTATCAGAATTCAGAAACTTCCAGTATGCCCCAAGTAGTAAGCGGTGTGGCGACCGCTTAAACCGCTACGTCATCCGTGCAGTCGATTTTGAAAAGCCTGTAGCCAGCAGTGGGTTAGTATGTACTGATGAATTTAAATTATATACCAATTTTCGGTAAAAAAACCCATGTGTTTCGCTTGCTCCTAAAGTGCAAATTTACTAATATTTGACCGCATGTTTATACTGATAAGTATAGTTTAAATGCACCAAAATTGTATATGCTAAAACGAACTGCTTTTGCATTAACAACGAGTATGACTGGTAAATCAATCAATTCTTACTGTAATAAAGAGTTGGTGTCAACATCAATGCACTGGTGATGAGGAGCATATACTTCGCACGAACTTTTGAACTGCAGCACTCTCCTAACAGTGCGTATGTAGCTGATTCTGCTGCGCTCGACCTGAAAGTATACAGTTGATGCTTTAAAACCAATGCAATGCAACAGAGTCGAAAAGACAACCAATTCAAAAGTATATTATATCTATTATGGGATCCGTAATCCGATTAGATACGTTTTTTTTATGAAATAGGGGTCAAATGAGCAGACGGGTCACCTGATGGAAAGCGACTACCACCGCCCATGAACGCTTGCAACGCAGGAGGCACAAGCGCGTTGCTAGCCTTTGAGGAAAGAGTACACTCTTTTCTTGAAGGTTTGAAATACCGCAGCCGATAACTTGTTCCACAGATTGGTAGTGCGAGGCAAAAAGTGTCTTAAAAAGCGCACAGTGATGAAGCGCAATTATCCAAGTGGTGGGGATGAAAATTTTGCCGTGCAGAACGATGGCGGAAGGTTGCGTCCGGTATTAGTCCGAGTAATTCCTCGGAGCACTCTCGATGATATACATACACGATAGAGAATGCCGGTTGCAAATCTTTTGGCTATCGACGATTCGAGTCGCTCTTCTTTGGATTCGATCCAGAGGGAGAAGCTGGTACTGTGGTGCCCCTGCATAGAGATGAGAGCAGTATTCCATATGTGGTCGGACTTGCGCCTTATAGAGTTGGGGGGGGGGGGGGAGGCTGGAGAGAAATACGTAATGTAACTTCGACCGAGTCTCTCAAAAGGAATAAATCTTTCCCCTTTTCCAATTAGTAATCCCTGAGATTAGCGCCTTCAAACAAACAAACAAACTCTCCAGCTTCATAATGTTAATATAGATTAGCATAGATAACTTACATGGCTGAGCTGATAAACCTAAGTGCAGCAAGGACCTGCCAGTTTGGAGAGAGGCTGCTGAGTGTAGCGCTGATAAAGCTGCAACACATGGCGTACATCAGCACCAAGCGCCTGCCTCTCATATCTGAGAGATACCCCCAGGGATATGACATAAGTATGATACCTGAAATGAAACTTTAACTGAATTAAAAAAACTCGTTCAGAATAGTAAAAAAAAATTGTGTTATGTTTGTTGTATGATCTTAACTTGTACTACCCAGCTTTTCCCTAAATCAAAAACTTAATATATTGTTTTGATCTGTGACAAAAACTATAACCGATTTATCAACGCAAAGCCTATACCGGCGGGGTAACAAAATTGAAATGGCAGCTTTTTGTTATGTTAGAGGGAGCAGAAGAGCAGAGGCGGGTCATTTGATGGAAAGTGACCATCGCGCCCATGAACGTCTACAACTCAGGAGTCACAAACGCGTTGCCAGCCTTTTAAGAAGGAGTACGCTCTTTTCTTGAAGGTCGTATCGGTGATGCTGATGCTTTTTGTGTTATAAGCAACCACTACAAAGATTTTTTTTAAATTTCACCCCTAAATCCTGAACCCTGAACCCTTGTATGTAAGTTCGTCCCGCCATCAATAGCTAGTAAATGATAAAATAGAAGCTATCACATGCATACTGAACTTACCAGCAAAGGGCATAGAAGACAGTATTCCAATTTGGTTGAGAGTCATGTTCAGGTCGCAGGTGGCAGCGGTGACCACAATGCCCAGGCCAAAGATGTCGGTGCCCATCGCAACGATGATCAGAAAACAAGTGCATAGCAACATGTAGTTATATTTCCCATGACCTGGTGGAGAAAAGTAACAATGTTATTTTTTAAAAAAAGCTGTGTGGTGTCGTGGGACACCCGATAGGAACGAAGTTGTGTCGATCGAGTAAAACTGATTCGACACGATTTTAATTACAACGCCATCTATGAAAGCGGCTATTACCTACATATTTTTCAGTTGGTTTCTAATTAAAACAATTTATACATTGGTAAAATCTCCTTGAGAAATGATTTCCTATCTATTCGATAGATGGCGCTGAATGACTGACAAGTGACAATTCAAAATAAATACTGAGATGAAAAGTAATGATTTCCTATATATTCGATAGATGGCGCTGAATGACTGACATAAAAAAGTGTTGTTACAACTTTTCGTGAGATTTTTTTCCGTCTAGCCCCCTTTCACAACGCGCGATAAGGAACTTCGTTCGCACATAAAATACTGGGGCAAACGAACGGGCGGGATACCTGATAGTCAGTGACTACTCGGCTTTTGAATGCCTTCTCCCAACATAATATTGAGGGGTTGCCTTAAAAAGGGTTGCCACCGGTATTTCACTCACTCGGTGAAATGTAATGAAAGAATTGCCTACCACTATTTGTAAGTAAGGTTGTGTGGTATGTACTCTGGTGGAGCCGGCATATTTGTGCCTCACGTAAATTGGTTGAGTTGAAAGCTAGATGTAAAGTTACAAAGAAGACTCAATTCTTCGAAGCAGCATAGGTCCGTCTCATGTTCTATTTTTTTTTTTAATAGGACCGATAAAAGCAAATTCATTTAACGTTTTATGATCAGTGTTTAACGATTCAACACATTTGTCAGATTTGAGTAATGATTTCTATAGGCGGGCTGCGTGAACTGTTAACGTTTGTCTAAATTTGTGGAGTATAATGGTATTTTCAGGCTGGTGTTCCCATGATAACAGAACCCTGTAATATGTTCCATTTTGAAAGTTGAAACGGTATTTGAGGTTGTTAAAATTCAAATTAAAATAAAATATACAATATGTAAATCGTTAGATCATTAGTTGACGATTGTGTTGGGTAGATGGCGTTGCATTAACTACATCGCACCATGGTTTGTCGGTGACATAAGTTAAGCAGATGTAAATTTTTATACATGAGAGTCACAGCTCCTGGATCAGAACACAGAGATAGTTTCATTCTTCAACCCTACTAGTCTTTCCTTTAGTTCACAGTTTAACAAAGGTAGTTAAAAGCAGAAGGATTATTATTGGCAAGAAAATGAGCATTTCGGCAAAATTGTGCAAAATGAGCTTAATACGAAATAAAAAAATGTGGTCATATTTGCCTAATCCAAAATAAGTCTTATTTTATTGTAGATATAGTAGACTTTTAAGTTTATTAAGTAGATATATTACACTAGAGAAAAAAAATAACAAGACTTGACCGAGGTAGAGCAATGATTAGATGGTTCGAAGGGAGTGATACGGCAGTCTTACAAAAAAAACCGCTGTTAAGCTAATTTTTAATTGATTTTCGCCGAGCGAGTGAGCTTACCAGTGCCCAACGCTTTAGGCGTTGACTGATTCTGGGGGGGGGGGGAATTTCAGGGAAACAATGCACTGTAAAAGAAAAACACAGGGTTATTTCATTGTTAAATTATATTAAGTGTAAAAACAATTTTTATTGTAATGTGATATGATAACATGAGAGCTACGTCTGCCAATAAACTGCACAGCAGTTTGGCAGAAGTAATTAATTATTGTAATATGTTTTTTTCTAAGAAGGACTGTTTTTTTTTAAGAGTATGAGAGAGAAGGCACAACAACGCAGGACACCACCACTGCAAAAAGAAGGAATTTCCAGGGTGTTGAGGCTATCTTGAAGAGTCTTCGGGACTACACCAGTTGTAGATATGACAATGGGTATAATTTTATCTCTATTATTATTACTAACTATCAGGTGATCTGACAGAACAACAGCACTGCAGAGAGAAGGAAAACTTGACACAAACCCTTTTTTTTTTTTTTTTTTTTTAACGTGTGGAAATCCCCTCGGACCGTTACCCCTCCGGGGTTTGCGGCGGGGTGGTGTGTCGGACTCGGACCGACTAAAACCACACGGTGTGCCACTCTGCGCCTGTAATAGGAGGGATCCGGGAACAGCTGTTGTTAAGACATCCGGACCCCTCCTAGCGCCAGCCCGCTCCTGGTGCGGGCTCCGTCTCGATGTTGTTCCTCTCTTTAGGCGACGTCCGGCACACGCGGACGCCGCCCCCTCGCGGCTGGCCAAACTAATGCGGGTGGAGGGGAAACCCACCCCGTCCACCCGCGGCCACACTCAGGGCGGCATGAGGCTGTGGTAGGCGGGCCTCCGCCTCCCGGTTCGCCGGCGGCGGATCGGGTCCGAGTGGAGGTCGTCCTCCCGGGCCCTCTCCGCCGCCTCCTTCCGCGAGATTACTACCTCGCAGAAGGTTGCGACCGCGGTAAAACAACTGTCGCTACCGGCCATGGAGCTTACTACGGCCGGTAGCGAGAGATCCACTCCGATGACTGCAGTGAGGGCCCGGCGCTGCGCCGCCCATGCGGGGCAGACCGCCAGCGTGTGCTGGGCCGAGTCCTCACTGCAGTCGCAGTGGTGGCAGGCGGGACTCAGTTCCCTCCTAGCGACCGTGTGCAGGTACTTTCCGAAGCAACCGTGCCCGGAAAGCACCTGCGTCAGCCGGAAGGAAAGGGTCCCGTGCTGCCGCCCTGCCCACTCGGCGATGACCGGCTGGAGAGCCTCCACGGCGGCGAAGCCAGCGCGTGGAGTCTCCAGCCGGAACGACCAACGAGCCATCGTGGCTCGGCGAGCGGCTTCGCGCCACTCGCGCACATCCTCGGGCGGAGGGCGAAATCCGCTCTCCGCCCGGAAGTCAGCCACTCGCCGATAAACTTCGGCGAGCACTTCCGCCTCCAAATCCCACGGGGGAGTTCCGGCCAACGCGCATGCCACCTCCGTCGACACGGTGCGGTAACCGCGTATGGCTCTGACCGCCATTACCCTCTGAGGGCGCCAGAGGCGTACCCTATTCTGGGCGGTCAGAGCCGCCGCCCACACCGGTGCACCGTACAGTGCCATTGACCGGACAACCCCCGTGTACAGCCGTCTTGTCGCGACGCTGGGTCCACCCATATTGGGCAAAAGTCGCCCTAGGGCAGACGCAGCGCCAACCAGCTTTGGAGCAAGCTGTCGGAAGTGCTCGTCGAAGAGCCACCTCCCGTCGAGGATCAGGCCCAGATATTTCATCTGGGCCCGAACCGGTACGAGGACCGAGTTGACCACGATTGAGGCGCCAGGGGGTGGACCACGACGGGGCCCATGAAATAACAGGGCCCCCGTCTTATCTAGGGCCACCCGTAAGCCCAGCGCCTCAATGCGCCCTACCACCAGGGAGACTCCCCCTGTGGCCAGGCGCGCCGCCTCTTGGAAGTTTGCCCCCCGGGCTGTCACCAGGGTATCGTCTGCGTAACAGATTACACCCAGCCCGGGGGGGAAATCGGCGCGAAGGGCCCAGTCGTACCCTATGTTCCACAAGAGGGGTCCAAGAACAGACCCCTGTGGAACACCGCACGACATGGGCCGACTCCTCAAATTACCTTCTCGGTCCTCGTACACGACGGTACGCTCCTCTAAATAGTCTGCCACCAGCCGCCTCAGGTACTTTGGCACCCCATGATAGTGGAGTGCTTCCCTGATGCAGCTGAATGGCAGACTATTGAATGCGTTGGCGATGTCTAATGACACCGCCAACAGCACGCCGCCACAGCTCACGGCCTCTTCGGTCACGGCCCTCAGGCGCAACACGGCGTCGACTGTCGAACGCCCCGCCCGAAAACCAAATTGGGCGTCCGACAGATCGGGGCCCACCTCGCAGAGGTGCCGGACGATGCGGGCAGAAAGAACCCTCTCAAACAATTTGCCCGCCTCGTCCAGCAGCACGATGGGCCTATAGGCCGCGACCGAATCGGCAGGCCGTCCCGGCTTCCTCAATAGGACCAGCTTCCCGCTCTTCCAGCACTCAGGGAAGCGTCCCGACGCCAAGCTAGCGTCGAACACCTCCCCGAGGCGGTCTGCCATGTGGTTGAGGGCCAGGGCCAGCACTCGGGCCGGTACCCCGTCTGGCCCAGGGGCGGTGTTCTTGGAACGGATCCGCAGAACAGCCGCCCCTACCTCCGATTCCCGGACGGGCGGAACATTATCCTCCCCGTGCTCCCCGTCGTCTCCGGCCAAGGAGGCCATCGCCGGGGGAGTGTGTTCCGCTCGTTGTGGGAAAAGGCCCTCAACCACTTCTCGCAGGAAGCTGGGCTGGAGAGTCTCCGTAAGGGGGGGGCCCGACGCGCGGAGCTTTTGTCGCACCGCGCGGTAAGGGCGACCCCAGGGGTCACGATTGAGACCCTCCAGCATCTCCTGTCTTTTTTCTTCTTTGGCGCGGCTAATGGCCAGCTTCAGAGTTTTCCGCGCCCGTCGGTACTCCTCATGAAGCCGGTCCTTCTCACCGTCTCCACGGTGACGCCGCCGACTGCGCGTGTAGGACCTCCGGGCACATGTACAGGCCGCACGGAGGTCCGCCAGCTCCTGGGACCACCAGTAGACCTCCTTCCTTGGAGGCCGACGACCTCGAATGCGGGGCATGGCCGCATCGCAGATATGCGTAATCGCATCGCGAAAGCGGCCAGCCCCCACGTCGACCTCCTCGGTCGGAGCCTGAGGAGACAGCCACGAGTGAATTATGGCTGCCTCCTCTAGTAGGTCCCGGTTCAGCCTGGCAACAGCCCACCGCGGAAAGCGGGATAAACGCCGCGCCACGTGACCCCTACTGGAGTCCTGGGTCCGGGAGAGCTCAAATCGGATATACAGGTGATCCGAGAGCGTCTCAACCTCTTCCAGGACACACCAGTTCCTTACTCGTGCGGCGAGGGCAGGGGTAGCGAACGAAAGGTCCACTATCGACCCCCCCTGCTGTCGCACGCACGTGTTGGTGGAGCCTCTGTTTAGAAGACAGAGGCCCACCG